AATGTTCTCAGTAAGAGCCTAACAAGGCTGGCAAGAAGGGGCCTTAAACTAGGTTTAATCTTCAAAACATATTTATGAACTATAGTCTAAGGCAGAATATTTTTAAATTAAAAAGTGAAATTGTTATTACAGTTTTTAAAAATCCTTGTATTTAACCCAGTTATCATATTCCCAATAATAAGGCAGCCAAATCTAGTATGGATCTGGTTAGAACTATGTGTGCTGTCACTGCGAATTGTTCCTGGTCAGCTTAACAAGTAAATGTCTATTTGACTTAATAGTTCAAATCTGTTGTAGAAGATTGATTCATTGGGGATTAATTAACTGAGGGTGTGGACAGATGTAATAGTTTTGAATATAAGCCATTCCAGTATAACTGTTAAATCTTTCGGCTTCCCAACTGATATAAGTGGAGCTAAACTATTGCAATCTCTTTTGTTCCAGTTTAAAGTTACAGCAGTATAACGCACTTACACGGGTATAGGAGTGGCATATGTAACAGTTAAATCAGAATAGCTGATATATGTTCCCAAGTTGCAAGTCTTCTCTCCCCTTTTAAAATGGTTTAACGTTATAGACAATGTAACAGTCTACTGTCTCTTTATCCCTTTCTGTAAAATTAAAGTAATGCAATCTAATCTGCATATTTATAGAAGGATAAATGTGCAGCTGTCTGATATCAGGTTTGTTGCTCCTTTCAGCTGTAACTATTCAATCTTTTAAAATAACTGGAATACACAGACACATATTTTATGATAAAAGAGATATTATAATCAATATAGATGTCAAAGCAAGATTATCTTGGACGAAGGATGGCCAACCCAGTGGTACAGGCAGCTTCTTTGGTGTGGCATGCAACAGATTGGAGAGGGAACAGGCAGAATGGCAGCAAAGGGGGCAGGGAGCAAAAAGCAGAGCAGCAGGTCAAACAGGAGAAGGGGCTTGAAGTGGCATTCAGGGAGAGCACAGGACTTAGCTCATGGGACACCTGCCAAAAAGGTTGGCTCCCACTGTTATATACTATTTCCTGTTCACACTAATGGGCATGCAATTCCATTGGGCTTTAATAAAGTTGTATATGCATACGTACGGGTAGGATGACCTTATTAATGGGTTTCTTAAAAACGTAGATTCCCCAGTTCATCACTTTTCACCATCTTATTTCCAAGATAAAGATGATTTAAAGAAGAAAATCTTTGATTGATTTATGACCTCTATGTTCCTGTTGAAATTAATGTCTTTGCGTATAAGTTGGGGTCAGATCTGCTCCTCTGTTAAATAGTCTTATGTTAACTGTGGAAGTAGAAAGTATCATCCTGTCTTTCTATGATCATGTAGCTGCCTTTTCCAATTATTCTATAGCTTTTCCATTATACCTGAGATTTCTACTCACAAATTACGTCAGACTGGAATTTGCAGTACAGCAATGTTGTGACCTTGCCCTTTCTGCCCAATCAGTTCTCTACCCAAATCTGGGAGGGGATGATGGTGAATGACCTAGCTATGTCAACTCTGACACAGGAAAAATTGGCAGCTTTCTGGCCCCATTGCACAGGTCCTTAGCTTCCCCAGGAAAAGGCAATGGAACTAGAAGTTCAAGGGTGTGCCTTAGAGGAAATGATTCATGATATTTTTTAATTCAACATAAATAGAACAATATTCTGTTCAAATTCACTCTCAAACAATTTCAGAATCTTCAAGAGACAGAATCAGAAAGAATTTGCAGGATAAAAACCTAAGTCAGAACAGATTAAAGAAAGGAAAGCCGGACACTGATGTCACTGAAAGGCAGAGTTACGGTGGTTTTCAGTGCTTTACCTGTGCCCTTTCGTTCTTTAGCATGCTTGAATTTAGTTACCTCTTTTGGAGGTAATTATCCTTTTGTAATTTTTTTCCTTACTTTTAGATTACTCCTATGTTCTCTTAACTTTAGCTCCAGCTAAACATAGTTATAACTATTTCCATAGAAAGTCTTACATTTAGGCAGCATCACAAACGTTCCTTTCCAGAATTTCAAGATGTGCTTTTAGAAACCTAAGAGCAGGGGTGGGCAAAATGCGGCCCATGCACCAGATGCGGCCACCAGGCCATTCTATCCGGCCTACAGAAATTTAGAAAATTAAAATGTATCTGCCCCTGGCTGCCTGTCATGTGACCCTCAGTGGTTTGCCATAACTCAGTAAGCAGCCCTCTGCTCAAGATAATTGCCCGCCCCTGCCTAAGAGTCATTTTACCTCACTGAAATGAAGCCACTTCTACCAACATGCTAGCCCTTTCTGTTTGAAAGGACAGTCCCACTGTGGAACGTTTGATGCAAATTATAATACATCTAGTTTGAAATGTTTCAATCTTGTAGGTGGCAGGAACTTATGATTGATATTTCAGAATTTTACAGGCCAAAACACCGTCTTACTCCAATTCTTTGTTTTCTTTTTTTCCATACACAACATTTTTCCTGTCTAATCAAGCCTAAATGATGATCTTCATTATGGGATGAAATGCATCAACTATTTAGCACTACACAACATTTTAGAGCTCAGAAAGAATAATGTCATATTGAATTGAAACTGGGAGAGTTTTATATTATAGAACACAATATTAGTGTACAGGCCAGTGTACTGAACATAACTCATATTTAGAGGTGTTATGCTGTTTAATGAATCATTGGAGTTCAGGAAATTTGTATTATATCTCAAGCAAAGTACAGCTTCTCCACCATCAAAGTTTTTCTTAACACTGGACATATCTACATGTGCTTTTACGCATGCCTAAACTTAAGCAGTAGCCTAATGCGCATTAAGGTGATTGAAGCACATGTCTACACATGCACACACTAAGGTGCATTAATGCAGGTTAATGCGCATTAGCTCAACTAGTGCAACTTTGCTATTTGCAGATAAATGTGATACCTGCTTTATGCCTGCCCCTGCCTACCTGCTTTATGCAGGTATCAAATTTAGGCTCAAATAGCCTACAATCACTATTTTTAAGGCTCATATAGATGCGCAACCTTAATGCACCTTAAATTGGGCTAATGTGCATTAAATGTGCATGTGTAGACACATCCACTATCCGAATCACCACCATCAGCGTCCTGCAAGAGATCCTTTTTTAGGTCATTTGAATGAGGGTAAAACAGATGTCACCAAACAAAGCAGATCAGTTGTATCAGGACGCATCCAGTCACAGCTGATCCGCTTTATTGGATGAAGGATGTTGCCCAGGGATTCTCTCACATCCCTCACTGACCATGCCTCACATAGAGGTGTGGGTCCCAGTGTGAAGTGGCATGGGACCTGGGGAATCCCTGGCACCTCATCTGTCCACACCAGGCTCCACACTGGGGAAAGCATAAGCCAGCATAGGCCCTGGCAAGGAGCTGCCAGGCAGCACGGGACCTGCACAGTTGTTGAAGCTTGAGGGACCTGATCCTGCTTGGGAGTTCCACAGGGTATACATGAATGAGCTCCCCAAGCCCCCAGAGCACCTGCCTGGGATGGCTGGAGAGTGCAGGCAGCTCTGGGCTACCCGCATTCTTGTGCCACAGAGCAAATAGACATCTGTTGCAATAAAGCAGAACTATTTAACACTACCTTCCATTGAGGTCACTTGTGTGCTGCAGTAAAGGGTAGGGAAATCTATTTGCTTGCCATTTATGCTATCATAATTTTTGTGGTGGCATAAATGTGATATCAGGTGTTTCTACCCTCAGTTGCTCATTAGATAAATGCTTGAATGAGCAACTTGGTTCACAGCTGCTTTCAGGGCTTCTCTTCTTTTCCTTGGAATAACTGAATATTGCCTACTCATACAAATAGTAAGGATAGTTTAAAGTAAACTTTTTGGTTTGTTTGTTTCTTCAGAAATCAATGAATGCACAGTGAACCCCGATATCTGTGGAGCAGGACACTGTGTTAATTTGCCTGTGGGATACACCTGCATCTGCTACGAGGGCTACAAGCTTAATGAACAACAAACAAAATGTTCTGGTATGAATGAACTTTTCTAAAAACCTAAAGTGAAGCATTTGAAATATAGAGCCTGTTCTTGCTAGGTATTGTGTATAACAAATAAGTCAGAGCTATTTCCTCTCCTGTATGTTCCACAATGGCTCAAAAATATTTTTTATTTATCAAAGAGTAGTCTACAAATCAGGTTCCAGTAAACCTATCATTTAATCAAAATTGAATGGAGATTAGTGATTTTAATTTTTTTATATTAATTCATTAAAAGGCCTGCTAAACTCAAGAGGAGTTGAGAACAATGAGCAGGAAGCCATCTTAAGTTATGTGACTTGTCCTAGCAACAGGGTATTTAACAGTCCAAGGGTCTGATCAATATAAAGAGCAAGGTGAATATCAAAATCAAGTGTACATTTGGGCTCATCTAGGCCTTTATTAATTTACTAAACAGACTTTACATAGAAGAGCTGAACTTAAAAATACCCAAACATGGCTGCTTTTCTCTTCTCTGTTTATGGCTTAAAATTATATTGATACCTATTACTAGTATGTCCTTACTGTGCCGGCTCTGGTGCGGTTAAGTAGAACTTTTCTTTTTCTTTTAGCATCTATTTTAAGGGGCTTATATCTTTTTAAACCAACTGCACTTTGGGTTGATTTTTTCCCCCTTTGTTTGCAGCCCAAGGTTGATTTTACTGTGCCACTTTTTAGACCCCTGGACATCTCGAATATAATTTTTCTATCTGCACATGCAAACAGATTTTCATACTGAAATGAACTTTTGTATGTTTTCTCTTTTACCATACTGAGCTTCAGAAGCCTAATGTCTCAGATTTGTGTACGACAGTGCACATGATGTGAAATAGTATCTAGCTCCATGT